TTCTCGGTCGGGCAAGCATTAGACTTGTATTATTGGCGCCGTCTGTGGGACTTCTGTTCAAAAGGCTGTGTTCTAAGCTTAACCATGGCGGACGGAATTCCCCGAATGAATTTGCAGTCGTCGTTCGACGAGGCATGGACGACAACAAGGCCGATGGGAACAGGGCCTCCCCCTGGTTTCTCTGCACCCTCACAGATCCCGGTGACCCCGACACCGATATCGCATGGCGTGACGATGCCCGGCGCTGGAGAGGGCACGAGCAGGGACCAGGAGGCTCGCGGAACGACCGTGGCGACGGTTGTCGCGCCGTCGCAGGCGGGTCCAGTGGTAGCACAACAGATTGGGCCGGCGGCGCAGACAGTGCCGTCACCAGTAGGAGAGGTACCACAACCCCCGGCTCCACAAATGGTGACCATGACCAGAGAGGAGATGCAGCGAATGATAGCCAACGCGGCGGCGCAGGCTGTGCAACAGGTTACTCACCAGACATCCCAGGCTACTACCACGCCGACCACGGTGCAGGCGACCCAGGAGGAAGATGTTTCGAGCTACGGAGGGGGAGGAGAGCCCAGAGATAGGGCAATGGAAAGAATGGTTGAGCAGCTGCGGCAACTGCAGGAAAGGATCGAGGGAAGGTCAGACAGGCGTGCTCGAGGACACCCCTTTTCGGGGGAAATACTGGCCGCCCCGTTGCCTGTCACTTTCAAGGAGATAAGCTTGATCTTTGATGGCTCGAGCGACCCAGCGAGGCATGTCCGAGCATTTGAAAATATGTCCGTGTTGCACGGATATTCAGACCCAGACAGTTGCAGAGCGTTCTTGTCGACCCTTCGGGGAGGTGCCCTTGATTGGTTTCATCAATTAGCCCCCGGGTCGATCAAAGATTTCGAAGATTTTGCAGGGCAACTCACCAACCAGTACGCGAGTGCAGTCGCGCAGGAGAAGACATACCTTACTCTGATGGCAATGCGGCAGGGTGAGAAAGAGTCGCTACGGAAATACGTGGCCCGATACAATCAGATGTGCTTAGAAGTGCCCACGGCTGTCGACGAGGTGAAGGCGGGAGGATTAATCAGGAGTCTACGACCGGGACCTTGTCGGACGTCGTTGGCGAAGACGCCCGCTCGAACTTATGAGGAGGTGTTGAAGAGGTGCAAAAAATACATTAACCTGGAAGAGACGGAGGCCGAGTTTGCCAAGCTCGAAGAAGTGGCAAGGCCCGACCAAAAGAGGGGAAAGCCAAACTCACCCAGACGGGAGTCGCCCAAGAGGAATCCTCAGAAGAGTGGCCCGTTCAGGAGATTGTCGCCCAAGAGGGATGGGCGAAATTCGTTTCAGGGAGGACGGGAAGACCGTTGGCAAGGGCGACCGCGACTACCCAATGGACAGAGATATAACAACTTCACTCCACTTAATGCCCAGATGGGTGAGGTCCTAGTAGCCATGGAGGAAAAGCTGGATGGTAAGGAAATCACGTGGCCAGCGACAAGATTCGATGGACCGACCAAGCCAAGGTCGGGCAGATACTGCAGATTCCATAGGGATTATGGACATAACACGGCGGACTGCAGACATCTGAAAGACGAGATTGAACGCTTAATAAGAGCAGGACATTTGAAGGAATTTGTCATCCAGGACCGACCACGAGGAAAGGAGAAAAGGAGGTGCAGGGAGGAGTCAGTGATGAGAAATGACAGGGACGATGATAGAGAGGATGACGGCAGGAGGGAGAAAAGGAGTCGAGAAAATGATCCTCGAGAGGAGCCTAGGAGGGAGCTTCCACTAAAGAGAGGCACCATTTACATGATTTCTGGGGGGCCCACGGATGGGGACTCGAACAATGCACGAAAGGGACACGTGCGAGCGGCAAAGCGAAAGAGAGAGGAAGTCGGGATAACTGGTTGAATGCCGGTGATTAGCTTTCGAGCAGAAGATGCAGAAGGGATTTTATTGCCCCACAATGATGCGCTTGTTATCACTGCAGAAGTGGCTGGTTTTGATGTGAAGAGGGTGTTCATCGACACAGGCAGTTCGGTCGATGTCATGTTCTACGACTGCTTCGCGCAGATCAACAAACACCTGAATCTGGAGCTGAAGCCGGTGTCGACGGCCTTGTATGGTTTTAACGGGGGAGAGGTAATGCCGATGGGCGAGGTGAATCTAATTGTGGCGCTAGGGTCGGGCGACACCAGGAAGGTGAGGATGGTGCGATTCGTAGTAGTGGGAGCAGAATCGTCCTACAACATTATATTAGGACGAACGGGATTGAACGCGTTCCAGGCAGTCGTGTCTACATACCACATGACGATTAAATATCCGGTGGGCGAAAATGTGGGCGAGATTGCTGGAGACCAACTTACGTCGAGGAGTTGCTATCAGACCATCGTTAGCAATAACAAGCAAATGGCGAGGAGGCAGGAGAAGAAGGGGGAGGATGGACCCGATCGACCAGGAGGGTCGAGGTCAAAGGAGGAGAAAGGATGGCAAAGCAAGGGAAAAGAGAAAATGGATATGCAACCGGGAGGCGAGGTTGAGGAGGTCCAGATGGTAGAAGGGAAGGATGATCGAAAGTTCAGAATTGGAAAAGAACTAGGCGAGCCGATCAGATCGAGATTGATCGACTTGATCAGGGAATTTGCGGAAGTCTTCGCATATACAGCAGAGGAGCTAACCGGGATCGAGGCTGCGGTAATCGAGCATCGTTTGAACATCGATCTTACAGTAAAGCCGGTGAAGCAAAAGAGGAGGCATCATGGGGCGGAGATGGACAGGATAATAGAGCAAGAGGTTGAGAAGCTCTTAGATGCCGGACATATAAAAAGGATCCAATTTCCTGAATGGCTGTCAAACACGGTCATGGTATCCAAATCAGGAGGAAAGTGGAGGATGTGTATTGATTTCCGCGACCTTAACAAGGCATGCCCGAAGGATCTGTACCCATTGCCGCGAATCGACCAATTGGTAGACTCTACGGCAGGATGTGAACTCCTCAGTTTGATGGACGCCTCGCAAGGCTATCACCAGATCCCTCTGGCAAAGGACGATTGGAAGAGGGTAAGTTTTATCACGAGCAAAGGCACCTATTGTTATGTGGTGATGCCGTTTGGGCTAAAGAACGCCGGGGCAACCTATCAAAGGCTGGTCGACCAGATATTCAAGGATCAGTTGGGAAGGAACATGGAGGTGTACGTAGATGACATGTTGGTTAAGAGCAA